CAAAAAAAAAAAAAAAAAAAAAAAAAAAAAAAGGTCAATTATACCTCGTAGTAAACAGCGATCATCGTTTGATCAAGTATTCGAGTTCGACAGAGGGAGGATAATGGCCTATCGAGAGTGTGGATTATCTTTCAGGGAAATCGGCAGTCGTGTTGGACGAAACCAAAGAACTGTAATGCGGATGTATGACCGTTGGATGCAGGAGGGTACGACGGACCGACGTGTTCGATCGCATCCACCTCAGTGATCACTTCACGTGATGACAGGAGCATTATGACAGTGACGGATCACTCAGTCACAACACGAACCATAGCACAGCACATTCAGTCTGTAACGCATCATCCAGTGTCTGCGCGTACAATTCGACGCCGTTTACAGCAGAGTGGTCTGTCCGCAAGATGTCCGTTGCTTCGTCTACCCTTGACGCAGAACCACGGACGTCTTCGCCGCCAATGGTGAGATGAAAGAAGGATGTGGACGGCAGAATGGAATGAAATTGCCTTTACTGACGAGTCACGCTTCTGTCTGCAACACCACGATGGCCGGATTCGAGTCTGGAGACCCCGTGGAGAGAGGATGCTGAACAGCTGCGTTATGCACCGCCATACTGGTCCTGCACCGAGTATTATGGTGTGCGGCGGTATTGGACATCACTCTCGTACTCCACTAGTACGCACTGCCGGTACTTTAAACAACCAGCGCTACATCTCGGAGGTGTTAGAGCCAGCTGTCCTTCCTTACCTTCAGGGCTTGCCCACAGCCATATTTCAACAGGATAATGCGCGAGCACACGTGGCACGTATTGTCCAAGGATTCTTCGTCAATTGCCAGATTGAATTACTTGGCCGGCTTGCTGTCCGGATCTTTCGCTGATAGAAAACATGTGGTCCATTGTAGCTGAACGATTGACCCAGATTACATCCTAAACTGCCACACCAGATCAACTTTGGCAACGTGTGGAAGCTGCTTGGTCTGCTGTACCCTAAGAACACATCCAAAGTCTCTTTGAATCAATGCCGAGGCGTGTGGCAGCAGTGATCTCCAACAATGGCGGCTACTCTGGCTACTGATTTTGGAAGCAAACACACTTCACAGAAATCTATAAATTTAACCATTTGATAATTGGTCAACATGTTATCTACTAAATAAATTTTGTTGCGATATCTCTTGTCTTTCTTCGTGTTGCAATTTTGGGTGTCCAGCAGTGTATTTTCTACGGTTTCGACAGCACATTTTCTACTCAAGACAGCCATTCTGTTTTTAAACCCGTATAACAACATTAGAAAACCACAGAAACGGAATTATTTGCCTTTTTTGGCGATTAGTACATGGCGCTTGGTTTGAAGTTGTTTAGAATATCCTTAATATAAATTTAAAAAATAAAATTATTGATTGTTAAAAAGCGCAATTTATATTTAAAATTAGACTTATAGCTGCGCTTGGAAAAAGAAAAAAAAAACCCTACTATTTGTTATAGTGCGAGCCGTACTTAATGGAGTGTGGTTTAGCCATGCTTCCTATAATGTATTGTTACGAATTCTGTTATATGTGTAAATAATGTTAGTAATATTAAATTTGAAATTGTAGTATCCTTTGTAAAATGTAACATGAAAAGTCAGAAGAGGTGAAGCTTTACCGAAAAAATAAGATTACAGAGTTCAGTCTATTTAACATTGAAATAAAAGGCTACCTTGCTAAATTAGCGACTTATGATCAAGCTGGCGATGGCTTTGGCGACTAGCTTTGGTTGCCAAATTTGGCGACATTTGGTTCGACTCCTGTATGCAGTAGATTTAGGGATAGTGTTTCAAATACTGTTGAAAGTAGTTGATGTGTGCAGTAGATTGACACTGTTTCAAATTTTTTTTTAATATATAACGTTACGAATTTTAGTGAAATTATATGTAAAATTGTAGTATTTTTTGTATAATTTTATATGAATGGCTTGAAAGAAACGTTGCTTTGCCGGAAAAATAAGATTACAGGGGGCAAGTCTATATACCATTGAGGTAAATGGATATCTTCTTAAATTGGCAAGATATCGTCAAACTGGCGATGGCTTTGGCGATTAAATTTTGTCGCAAATTTTGCGAGAAATCACCTAAAGTCGCGAAATTTTGCGACCATTTGTCCACATTTTATTCCCGTCCCTGTATAACTGTAATTGACACCGTAATTAAATATCAGTAACGAGTATCTGATCTTTAAGTGTAACTTTTACAGTATAGAGTAATAAAAGGTACTAGAGATTTCTCGACGGCCGGGGAAAAAATAAACAAGACAGGAGAGAGCATCAGTTTTCAGTTATCCATTTATTCTCATACTGTTGGATGAAAATTAGGAAGAAGTGTTACGCTTGAGTCTCTTATGGGATTTCATGAAGTCTGTTACTACGACTTCATGAAGTCTGTAACAGCAGGATGAATTCCCACTGAAAACCATATAACTAACCAAGCACCAAAGCATCAAGTTCTCAGTTGTTAGTTTAGAGTTGATTTCGGAGTATTAAGAGATCTCTGTGAGAGCTTCGTCTTTTATATGCGCTTTGTACTGCGTCACGTTGTTAGTGGTCCAAAGTTTAACTACTTATTATATTCTGTGATACTTGTGTAGTCTCTTTTGGAGGGGTTGCAACTCCAGAAGACAAGATGCGAGAGCGCACCAAGTTGGAGATTTTGAAAAACGCGCCAAGCAGTGGGTGGTTCTTCTTTCCCTTCTTTTGGAATGATTGGAACAATTTGTTTTAACACATTCACCCATATTTCTCAAAATTAGGTCGGAATCGATCAACAAAAATGTCATCAAAATAATGCTGATCCAATGGCGGATAGCTACAAGTGTGTTTTGTTGACTACAAAATAGACGACGAGTCAGCTTCCCATTATGGGAACCTTAGATGGAGGTAAGTCGCCACAGACCAGGTACTCCGGTGTTTGCGCCACTCGAATAAGCAAATTCCTATTCACGAATAGTTTTGACAAAAAACGTCTATGTAGAGAAGTAAAGGTTCCATAGACGTAATGTAAACCTACGGCAGCTGGAAAGTGGAGGGAAAGTTCGCCAAGGGATTTGGCGACGGAACCTGGCGGCTAGATTTTCCCCATCCGCTGTGTGTATAGGAAATTGGGGAACATATGTTAAGAAGAAACGTTCTTTGACGAAACATTTCATCTTTGACTTTTCGCGATAATTTAAACTCATTTTCGTACTTTTTTGTGCTCAAAGTAAGTAATCCATTAATTAATTTACTTGCACGAAAAAAATATTTTCTTTTCCTTTAAAGTTTAAAGAAATTTAAAACGATATTCGTTTCATAAACTGTTAATGAACGTGACCTTCAAATTTCAACTCCGGCTTCGAGCTTTGGCGACAGATATTTCACACACACACAGATCGTATTTTATTCTCGCGTGTCAAGATGTAGAAACATCTTTTTACTCGACTTCTGATAAGGATTGGGTGGGAGGAGAAAAAGTAGGGTGAAAGGAGTGTGGGAGGCGGATGAAAGAGAGTGAGGTCCGCATTAGCTGCGGCGAAAAAAGGGGGGTGTCAAGTTCAGTGTCGTTATAAGATGTAGCCGCGGATGGTAAAACCGCAGAGTCAGTTTAGCGTGAATGAGTCAATTAAGGTTGTGATTATTATGTGGGAAGGATGTCACAAGGGTAACGATGTTTTTCTCTGGGACGCGGGAAGTGTCTGAGAGTGCTAATAAGGCTATTACTGTGGGTTTGTACTGAATAAAAGAGTGACCGCTAATCGTTTAATATACTCTTGAATAAGTTCGATTCGAAGGTCTCTGTGTATATAGATGTTGGGAATATACCAAGGAGCATTGATAATTTCTCGTAGAATTTTATTTTGTAGAATTAGTAATTGTTTAATATCGGTTTTAGCTGCATGTCCCCAAATCGGTGCTGCATAAAGGAGAGCTGGGCGCAGTATGGAGCGATATAGTATTAATTTGTTTGTAGTAGATAAGTTGCTTTTTCTACTAAGAAGAGGCCGCATAGTAGCTGTGGTGATTTTAAATTTTTGTACTACGGACCGGAAATGGGTTCTGAAGGTAAGTTTTTGGTCAGGGGTGACTCCAAGATATTTGGTTTCATTAATCCAGTCTATTTTTCGGTCAAATATTTCAGGGGGTGGAGGATAGTATTTCATGTTTCCTTTACGGAAAATTATTGCCTTAGTTTTATCAGTGTTAATTTTGATCCTCCAAAGGGGAAACCATTTTTCCAGATTTATGAGATAGCTTTGGAGTTGGTTTCTTACGGCGATAACTGTGCAGGCTTTAGTAAGTATGGCGGTGCCATCGGCAAAGAGTGCAAGATGAAGAGAAGGGTCTTTAGGGATGTCTTGTGTATAAATATTAAAAAGGTATGTCGAAAGTGCCTACCCCTGTGGGATACCAGCATTGATTACTCTGGTGGTAGAGTAAGCAGTACCGATTTTGATTCTGAATGTTCTGTTGCTGGGAAACAGATATTTCGCGCATACATAGGAGTTTTCCTCTACGTTCGGTCGGAGCCACTCCTGTTGCAGAGAAGTTTTCCTTATTAACAATACATATTCTTTGGTTTTGAGATTGTTAAGTGCTTTTTTTTTGTTAGTAACTCAGTAATAGTAGCCTTGTAATCTGCATATTGACTATTTTTGAATTAGGAGGCGTAGGAGCATCATCCACCTGGGCCTCCAGCTTGAATATGTTTCTAGTTCGAAAGTGTATTTCCGACTCGTACTTTATAAATACTGTTTTTTAAATAAAGATAAATTCTGTTTTTGAAGTACGATGAAAGGATATTAACGCAGTTGATTCGGTTTATTTATTTAGACTAGTATGCTTTTTCAAAATCGGAAAAGCAAGCCAGATATTTCCATTTTGTTATTTTATCAGATTTTTCTGACTTGTCAAGACAAAGAGTGCACAAGCTCTACAAATTTTTCTGTAGGTTCTTTGTTCAAGAGGTAGAATGATAAAGACAAGGTGCAAAAACATCGCATTGTCACATTGTCAAAAATGTCTGAAAACCAACGGGAATATTTATTGTATTTAAGTGTTAACATCGCGGAGTATAAACAAAGAATCTTTAAGGAGGTATAAACACTAACACATTTGTATCCTGACCATGTTTTATCCGATTATCTGTTGAAAAAGGTAAGGTCGAAATCTGTTCAACAAAGGAATTTCGTATCTCGCGGTTATTTAGAATACATAGATCTCTTACGATACATATGGCTATGTGTTTTATTATGCTTTTCATCATAATTTAAAATATTGCGAATATAATGAATCTGTTAACAGTTTTGAATTTCCTGAGAATTCGTTCCGAAATATATTGTGTTTAAAAGTTGTATAGAAATGCAATGGAATGTGAACATTCGTTATTCGGCGTAAATGCCATTTTCGGCAGATAAAATATGTGTAAAAGAAAAAGATTTTATTATCTTTTTAAAATTTCAAGATTTTCATTAGAATTTTGTACTTTTTCTTTTTAGTACAAGTGGGAAATTTGCACTTGAACAAGAAATTTCATGGCAAAAATACTTTTTGATTATGAAAAGCAGAGCAAAAATTCATTTTTCAAGTCAGTTTCAGGGATTTTATCCTTTAAAACTCTTTTACCAGGGAAGCATATATATTTGCCATTTTCAGAATTGGTAAAATTATGGTAGGAAATTAATAATATGCATCATGAATAGCTGTGCAGTGTCAAGGTTGTGCATTATGTCAAATTTATGATATTTGCTGATTTCTTTTTATATCAAAACATCAGAGGATGCATAAATTTAGGCAAAGCACAGAAATATAATACATAAATTTAAATAAAGCTCAGAAATTTGATTCACATATGAAAATGTCAGAAACTGAATTTAGATATTTAATATTTGAGTTCATAGATAGTTTGCAATTTTATTTAAATTCATATGTAAATTAAAATGAAGTATCAATGTGGAAACAGGTTTCTAATGTGAATTCATTTCATGATAAGTGTTGGTATGAAGACTGTTATCAAATATTTTGATGAAAATATTTTTTTTTTTATAATGTAGGCTAAATTGAAGTATGAATCATGTTGCATTTCATACATCATATGTAATATTTCATACATCATATGTAAATTGTTTACTTTCGATAATTTTTCTTGAGCTAAAATAAATAGCAATAGTTTCATGAGCTTTTTGAGAAAAGTTACCAGTTGGCACCCTCTAAGTTAGCTTTTACCAATATCTTATTCAAAGAATCATATAGAGTTCATGTTTTAGAGAAGAGTATCAGGTTCAAAACTGGCACATAACCGAGTGATAAAATTTTTTGCATAAATGAAAAGTGCAATGATATTTTTTATGAATGATTATGATCCTAAAGTAATAAAATTACATGGAAATATTATCTATACATATTCAGAATTTAAAAACTTATAAAATACTTGAATGAAAATGCTTTCAGCATATAAAATGTAACAAAATCGTAAAAATCATAAATTTAAAAATATTAAACACATATTATTAAACCAGTCCTAAATTATTCTGATTTGTTTTTTAACTAACCTGTATAAGAAAGCTGAAAGAAAGATGTCCCATATCCCAAATTTTAATATTAAATTTGTAGGCAAAAAGTTTGTATGGCCTTCATATTGAAGAAAATGCACACTAATATGATGAATCGATAAAGTGATATGAAAACTTGAAAAGCCAATAAATATAACATTTAAGTGTAAGCTGCTGCATTAATTAGTGTTGACTTAATGTATAAATTTTTCTAAGAATACTAATGCACTTTTGACTTTTTGACAAGTTATGTTATTTATTTTTTAAACTACACAAGAATTCTACTAATGGCATTAATTTAATTTTTCTTGCAATCATATGGCATTTAAATAAAAGTTTTTAATCCACAGTTCAAATGAATTATGAATTAAAAACCCATTTATATTTAATCTGCTGTTTATTTGGAAAATACTGATTAAAAGCTTCACTCAAACCTTTCGGTACTTTTCTGTTATACGGGCACCATGAAAAAACACTTAAAATTTATAATAACGTGCTGAAGCTAGGAACAACGTGATCAGCTAAGTCACCTCGGTTTTATGAGTGAAATTGAGCCAGGTATTCACGTGCTATGATTTGCATCCTTTTTTTAGAGCTGCACGAAACATAATTTGATAGAAGACTTTCTTCATATACCTTATTCGATTAAAAGCATTTTTTATAGGAAAACAAGAAGAAAGAAAGTGGATTTCACAATCCGGAATTTACTTAAAAACAAGGAGGAGGCAGTGAAATTACTACTGGATAAAGGAGCTGATCATAGGCGAAGATTTTGTAAAACACATCATGAAGTGATGTGTTTTACCAATTACAGTACACCAGAATGGTACATGAAATGATGTGTTTTACCAATTACAATACACCAGAATGGTATTGCAAACTTTAGCTTGCCCAGAAAAAATAGGTGCCAGATCTCGCACTTGTTTTGAAGGATCGCATCAAAATTTCCGAGTGTAAAATTTATCTGCTGCTGATGCAATGAACTGACCTCAGTTGAGTTTTGTAATATGCAATTAAAATGAACCACAATACAGTTGTCAATTGGACAGTTATATGTGGGAGGTTTGTATTCTTGACTTGTAATGTAGACCTGAAGTTAAAATTTGTGAAAATAACAGAATAGTAGAGGATGACAAAAGTCTTTAGGAGAAGAAAGAGTAATGATGGACATGTTCTTTGGGTTTTTGGAGGTTTATGTAGAGAAACAAAATGTTTTCTTGTAACTATTTTGGATCACACAGTGAAAACTTTAGTTGGTACAATTGAAAAAATATTGCAGAAGGTAGTACACTTTTTTTTCTGATGTCTGGGAAGCATACAAAACTGAGAATTTGAAAGCAGCAGGATATTGTTATCTTACAGTTAACTGCAGATACAGTTTTGTGAAGCCAAACGCTGGATGTCATATGCAAACAGTTGAAAGAATGTAGGGCAGTACAAAATGGCGTAATAAATGCAAGCGTGGCACTTCACGCCACCATCTTGAATTATACTTATTAGAGTTGTGATCGCAATTACATAAAAGAAATGAAATAGTTTTCCAAAATGTTGCAAGACATCTGTAAATTCATGGCCCCTGTTCAAATTTAAATTGTATTTCATTTATAACATATTTAAAATTTATTATAATTTAACTGTTATAATAAAAAATATCATATATTTTTTGTGTCGTCCATATAATGGAAAAGAACCATAATTTCTTCAATAAATGTTTCTCCTTTTTTCAATCCCGTCCTCTTCTGCAAAGCGTATATAATTTTTGGGAAAGAATCAAAGTTGTTGGAGTGTATACAAATTGTCTAAAATTCTTTTTCTTGAAAACAAAATTCTTTTTTGTGTGCAGTAAAGACATATGCATTTTTGCCTTGAAGTTAACCCTTTAAATTTTAACGACAAATTTAAAATTCAAATTATCGCTTAAGTAGATAATTTTAAGTAACTACTTCGGTTAGAGTTGACTTTAGGGTACTCCTTGTAATATCTCGAAATTGTTGTTTCATTTATTGCCAAGTTGTTTTCTCATTTATGACAACCTGAGTAGTTGAATGCTATGGAAACCCTATTATGACATAATTGGTTGCTGTGAATTTGAATCATGGGAAAAAAATTTGGAAAGTGTATGTCGGATTTTGGGTAAGTGCTTGTGTGTGATAGATTAGTACGTTGTTATTCTGTGGTTTACACAGTAAATTGGCTGAATGTGGTAAGATTAATTTGAAGTTTTTGTAGGATTTGGAACGAAAGGGAAGAAAGCATTAATTGACTGGTGTGTAAATGAAGGTTTACTTAGTAGCCATTATTAAGTGTCCTGTTTGGAGGAAGGAAATGCGTATGGTTGAACATCGGATATTTTCGAACAGAGGATATTTTTTTACTCTTATTTTTTTGAATTTATGTGGCTACACCAGTATACAGATTCTAGTTCAGATAATTTTAGGAAGTGTTTGGATACTGTTAAGGAATTGTGTATGACTGAAGACGCGTAAATTTGTAAGTAAGGTAAGTGGATATGTCCTTCGTGTAGTGCTAAGATGAATTTCCTTTTTTATGTTATTTCATTGTTTGATTTAAAATGTAGTTTATTCAGATTATATATATTTTTTGTTGGCTTCTCCTTTGACTTTTTTAGTGAATATATTTCGATGCGTACATGGACAAAGTCAAGGGAGTGTGCAAAACCTAGTTTGTGAAATTCTCTGATTTTTTTCAAGTGAAAATAGGTCGATGTGTACATGGATACCGAGCTTGTGCAATTCTTTCTCTTGTTATTTTGGCTTTGTGTAGCTCTACGCAACCCAAAATAACAAGTCAAAGAATTGCATAAACTCGGTATCGATGTACCACCGAAAATCGCCAAGTTTCGCCAAGGGGTACCCTAAAATATACTTTTACCCCAACTTCTATCCAAGAAACAATCTCTCAGTTTAAAATTGTGTTAAAAAAAAAAAAAAAAAAAAAAACTTGCACTTCTCCCTTAGCTCAAAAGTATGGGTTAGTATCTTGCCTCATGATAACCATCTGACTTCAGTATACAGTCAAAAGTCGTTAATTCGGACACCCATAATTCGGAATGATCTATAATCCGGACCTCAAAACTAAAAACTTTCTGCGCATGCGCTGCGTTGACACATGCGCATAGGCGTTTATGCGTGCACGTAAGACCTTTTACGACTGCGCATATGAGTGTGCGCAAGTGCAGAATACGTTTTCGCGTGCGCGTTTTATGTATAATGGATGTATAAGCTAAAATTATCTAATTATCTATTTCAGTTAATGTTGATGATTGCGTTGTTCCTTAATTTTCGAATTAGATCCGGCTTATTATTTTTTGCAGACTGTAAGAGCAATTTTATAAAAGTAAGCTTAAGCTTTCGATTATATCAAATAGAATTTCCGATATATATTTGTTAATATGTAAAGGATCTAAAGCGAAAGTATATTTTGAAATCCGAAATCTGTTTATCAATTTCACGCTGCTCGGCGGGGGGAACGCCGCAGCGAGCGCCTCATGAATTGGAAGTTGATCTGTCAGCACTATCCTTATCTTCAGGGCAGATGTTTTTATTTTATTTGGCTTATAATTCCGTACCAAATTAGAATTTCATC